CTTTCAGGGTGCAGTCTCTGCCCTCAGATGTCGCCTACGAAATCAGACTGCGCAGAGCTAGCGGCGCGGACCTTGGGCTGAGACGACGCCCAGAGACGCCCCGAGGGCAGCTTGGGCCCTCTGCATCTTGGGATTCCTACTCCGGGATCCGCCGTACGCCTTGCAGCCAGGAGGACAGCTTGAAGAATTAAACGTATGTATTTACATTTTTAATTGTCAAAGAAGCCTCCCTTCCGGGAAGCGGGTGCGCTTGGGTGGTCTAGTGGAGGCTAGAGGCCGCGGTGGGTCGGGTTAGCGCTCAGCTGCGCAGCTGCGCGGCTGAGACAGAGATTGAGACCCTCTGAAGCGCGGAGTCCCGTGCGGGTTTCGTTGCGTCCGGGAAGTCGGAGGCCTGCAGAGTCCGAGCGGCGTGCCACCAGCCCAGATCGGGGTGGAGCGTCCTGGAGTTGGCTCGTCCGCTTTCCCCTCCCGGAAGCTGCAGCCCTTGCCTACCCGGCCCAGCCTCATTTTCCCCACACTGCAAAGTGACACTAACACGCAGTTTTCTCAGGACCTGCAAGTTGGGTGGGGGTGGGGGATAATTTCTACGGAGCCCAGAGAGAAAGATCCAGGTCCGAAGGAGAGAGCGTTGCTGAGCGCACACATCTGGCTATGCGTCAGACCCCCAGCATCTGACCAGGACAAACAGGCCACACGCAGAGGAAGTCACAAAAGGGGGCAAGCAGGACAAGAGGAGAGCGGCCAGGCCTGAGCCCAAACCCGGGCATTGCCCTGGGAGCCCTCCAGTCCACAGGCCCCAGCGTGTTACTTTATAGTAGGGCAACGGAGGCGCGGCTAGGGTTCCTGGTCGTCCCCTGCGTCTGCCCCAGGCCCTAGAGTTGGGGACCGGGGAGATGTCATTTCCTCCTCTAATTGTGTCCCTCGAACTGAACCCTGGGGCCCACAGAGGTCGAGCTGTTGAGGGAGGGCAGACTAAGTCGCTAGGTCCAGGGACCCCCTGCCCGCCCCCTGTCCGCTGCGGCTGCCCAGCCCTGGGGCCCCCGCGCAAACAAGAGCGTGTTTGCGGAGCGCGCGGCGGGAGGCGCGGGCCGAGAGCGATGAGGATTCGATGGAGCCGCACGCCGCTGCGGGGGCGACGGGGCCTGGGAGGCCGCGGGGATCGATCCGGCACAGCTGTCGCAGAACAGCCTGCGCGACCATCCACCCCACGGGCCAACGCTGCCCCGGCGCCCCGAGACCGCGAGCAGGAAAGCTGGAATGTTGGGCCCGCCAGAAGCGAAACCCCAACGTCGTGGCACCCCGGGTTGGGCGCTCAGGCAGTCCCCTCTCCTAACGTCCGAGAGTGGAAACTTGAGGCACCGCGCACTGAGCCCTATCGGTACCCCCGCCAGGCCGGAAAAAGTCTGGGTCCTTCCTGGTCAAAATTTAAATAAAGTCTCGCGACCCCGCCCGAACGAAGGCGGCTGGAGTAGACAGGAAGTAGCCGGCGGTAGCAGGCAGCACGACCCAGATTTGGGGCGTTGGCGGGTTTAGGGGGCTGAGGTGGGACCTGTGCGGATCTAAGGCTCCGACAGGGAGCGGGAGGGGGGCTTGCATCGCCGTTATCTATTAAAACCTCGGTCTAAGAAAAGGGGGAGGAGTGCGCAGCAACAGTGAACTTTCATTTCCCTGGGAGACAAATCGAATTAAACAATCAGTTCCCGACCCCGGAGGGGCTTGGGGAAGGCCTAGAAAAGGGAAACTTTGGGTATCTATCCTCCTCAATATTTTTAGCTGCGGTGAGAGGCCAGCAGGGAAGGCTGCGCGTTCAAGAAGGCGGCTGGAGGATACTGATTAAAGCGGCAATGGGGCTTGGAGTGGAGGGAGGGTTTATACAGGGGGGAAATACTAAAACAATTCGGCCCCCAGGGTTAGAAGAAGGCCCAAGCCCCAGTCTCCCTCCGCTTGCTGGACTGTCCAAGCCCTAGGGTAAGCCGCAGGAGTCTGTGCTTTCTGGCTTCTCCCAGATTGGGGCTAGGCACAGAGAGGGTTTGTGTTCTCCTTTGACAGCCCAGCACCTGCTGAGGCACCCCAGGTGCAAACATGAATTCTGGGAGTCAAATTCCAATTTTCTTGTAGGGAAAAATTGAGACCAGAGAGCCTGGGTTGTAGCCCAGGTTCCTGAGAGGCCAGGATGGGGTGCACCCAGTCCCATCCAGACCGCCCATCCCCCCTGCAGGCAATTTGCCTAATGACTTAAGATCGATCAAGGCTTGAGCAGCCTGCCCGGTCCTGAAGCCCGCTCAATTCTATTTTACTAATTAATAAAAGGCCACTGGTGGGGGGAGTGCAGGCTTGGGGCCCCAGGGGGCCATGCTCCCTGTTTAGGGACCCAAAAATTTTTGCTTAGTCTCCCAATGGGAACTCAGCCTCTATAAGAAGCAAAATCCCAGTCTCTGGGGAACTCCAAGTCCCCATCAGCCTAAGGCTGGGATGGGGGGACCCCATACCTGCATAAGCGTAATTTCCACCAGACTAGCACCCCCTTCCAAGTCTAGGGAGCTTGGGAATGGGTCACCGGGTGTCCTAAGGCAGCAAGGGATGGGACCCTTCCTCTCAAAGCTGCGGATCCACCTTTTTTCTTTCAGAACGGATGCCTTCCCTGTTAGAAAAGTCACACATGCTTGTTACAAAAAATGAAAAATACAATTGAGCTGTAGGAAATACTTTTGAAAAGGAAGCCCACATAATCCCAACCCCTGCCCCTACCCCATGGAGCTCCCTGTGGTTGGCATTTTGGGAGAACATTCTTCTGTCTTCGTGTTTTCCCACCCAAAGAGACCCCTCCAGCCCCCACCTGGTCTGGGCTTTCTTGAGCCTGGGATGCTATCATTTTATGGCGGCTGATTGATTTTTAGATCCCACGATTATTTTTAATTATCTGTGATTGTTGGAGGGTGAGATTGAGGAGCCCTGGCTAGGGCACAGCTCAGCCAGACTCTGAATCTGCCCCAGGGGGTGGGGGACACTCTGCCTTTCAGACCTACCCCTCTCTCCCCACCTCCATTTCCCACCTAGAAGATAGTTGTAATTATGTAAACTACCTCAAATTGTAGGTAGATCCTGGAACTGAAATGTCCAAGGACCTAGACTGGGGTGTGTGTGGCACTTGGACAGACTTAGGAAGGGGGTAACCCTACCATCACCAACTGCACCCTCTACCTGAGGTCTGAAGCAGTATAGAATTTGGTGGCATGACTCCACTCTCTGCAGCTGGGGAAGGAGAGATTGGGTGCCTGGTTAACATTGAACACTTCCTCAATGCTGAGTCCTAAGCACTAACAGGAGTTCCTTTAACCCTATTCCACCCCAGGACTTACATCAGGACACTCTACTACCTGATCTTTCTAACCTACAAGTCCAGATCATGTTGCTCCTTTATGCCCTCCAATTCAGAGCTAGTCTCCTCTCCTTTCCCTTTCTGGTCAATATAGACCCACCTCCAGCCCTCAGATGGGGCAGCTGGAAAGACCCCCTTCCTATATCACAGAAAAGGAAACTGGGATACAGAAAAAGCCCTGCTATGAGGCTACAAGCCTAGTCACAGTTCAGAAAATCACATCTCCAATGTGTAACCATGTCTTGGGGAGAGGGGGCTGGTAATTATGTTGAAGGTCCGAGGCCTGTGACTGGGGGCATGGGGGTGCCCAAAGGTTTGCATGTAGTGGAGAGGGAGCCCCTCCACTCCCAGCTTAGAGCTCTTGGTTCTGCCCACTGAGATGGGGGATGGGGACCCCAGAAGAAAGCTCTCTTAACTTTACCCCCTTTCCTCTTCTAGAGAATGGGCAGCAGTGGGGGAGCATATATAGGATGAGGAGGGCGGGGCTGAGTCCGGGACCCTCTCCTCACCATAGACTCTGGCCCCAAGATGGGAGTACTCTCTAGGTTCTGGCCTGGCCACTGTGGAACCCCCTCCTTGATCTCTATATCTTACTCCACTGGAGGGATCTCATGGGGGAGGGTGAGAAGGCCCCCATTTATCGCAGTTACCACAGAACCTGGGTCTCCCTGTCTCCAGGTGGTGAGGAGAAGGGGTGTCTTGGTTCCCCCATCCAAAGAAGATGCTTGGGGGACAAAGAAGAATTAGCAGCAGGGACTTCTCAGGAAACAGAATGAGCGTCCTCAGCTTCCCTGGGCTGGAGAGTGACAATGGCTCTCTCATGTTATCCTCAGCCTCCTGGCAACATGTAGAAGGACCCTGGAGTTAGAAGGGGTCTTTGGCAACCCTGAGGCCAGGTACTCCATTGCACAGTAGGCGAAACTGAGGCCAGGTGCTCACACATAGGACATATCCTAACATCTGCAGAGAGTGCCCCTGACCCGGCCTACTTTCCTTGTGTGAGTGGGCTAGAACTCCAGAAGTCTGCGGGGAGGAGGAGCTGAGCTTGAAGAGGCCCGCCACGTCCTGGGGGGTTGTTTCAGTGGAGGGGACACTGAAGGCTTCCCACCAGTCACACTCCCAGGGACTCTCTGGAGATGAACTCAAGAGCGCCAGGAAGGAAAGTAACATTCCAGACTCTCTGGAGAGAACCGAAGAAAAGAGGCACGAAATTAGAGACCAAGAGACCAGGCTTCCAGCCCGACCTAGGCGTAGTCTGTTTTCATACCCTCGTCCGTTGTCCGCCAAGGGGGCGCGGACGGACGCAGAAGCAGGGGACCACAGAATCCCACGGTCTAGTGGACACCGGCCTGCCTGGCGTTTGAGGGGGCACAGGCGGGAGGAGAGCGAGACAGTGGCAGGAGCCGGTGGGCGGGGGCGCTGACGTCAGACTCGGGCCCCGGCGCCGGCGGCCGCTCCCCCGCCACATCCTGGTGGCCGCGCTCGCAGCCGGGCCGGGCTGAGCGCCGCACAGCCGGGCAGCCTAGCGCGCAGCCACCGGGGTGAGGGCGGGAGCGATGCAGCGGCTTTGAGCGCGCCGGGCCGGCGCCTAGGAGCGCGCGCGGCTGGCGGGCGGCCGAGCATGGAGCTGAGCTTAGAAAGCCTGGGGGGCCTGCACGGCGTGGCCCACGCGCAGGCGGGCGAGCTGTTGAGCCCCGGCCACGCGCGCTCGGCGGCGACGCAGCACCGCGGCCTGGTGGCGCCCGGGCGCCCAGGCCTGGTGGCCGGCATGGCGAGCCTGCTGGACGGCGGCGGTGGCAGTGGCGGAGGCTCCGGGGGCGCGGGCGGCGCAGGCACTGCGAGTGGCGGTGCCGACTTTCGTGGGGAGCTGGCGGGACCGCTGCACCCAGCCATGGGCATGGCCTGTGAAGCGCCTGGGCTGGGCGGCACCTACACGACGCTCACGCCCCTGCAGCACCTGCCGCCGCTGGCGGCGGTGGCCGACAAGTTCCACCAGCACGCGGCAGCCGCAGCCGTGGCCGGGGCGCACGGTGGCCACCCCCACGCTCACCCGCACCCAGCGGCCGCGCCGCCCCCGCCACCCCCGCCGCAACGCCTGGCTGCCAGCGTGAGCGGTAGCTTCACCCTCATGCGCGACGAACGCGCTGCGCTGGCCTCTGTGGGCCACCTCTACGGGCCCTACAGCAAGGAGCTGCCCGCCATGGGGTCGCCACTGTCGCCGCTGCCCAATGCTTTGCCTCCAGGGCTGCACGGTACCCCACAGCCCCCGCCGCCGCCGCCGCCCCCGCCATTGGCTGCCTATGGTGCGCCAGGCCATCTGGCTGGGGACAAGCTACTGCCTCCCGCCGCCTTCGAACCGCACGCCGCGCTGCTGGGACGCGCAGAGGACGCGCTGGCCCGCGGGCTACCCGGAGGCGGCGGCGGCGCAGGTAGCGGCGGAGCGAGTGGAGGTGGCGCCGCTGGGCTGCTGGCGCCGCTAAGCGGGCTGGCAGCGGCCGGGGCTCACGGTCCGCACGCGGGAAGCAGCGGCCCTGGCGGGGGCGGCAGCGGCCCCAACGCGGGCGCTGCTGCAGAGGAAATCAACACCAAGGAGGTGGCGCAGCGCATCACCGCGGAGCTGAAGCGCTACAGCATCCCGCAGGCCATCTTCGCTCAGCGGATCCTGTGTCGCTCGCAGGGTACGCTCTCCGACCTGCTGCGCAACCCCAAGCCCTGGAGCAAGCTCAAATCCGGCCGTGAGACCTTCCGCAGGATGTGGAAGTGGCTGCAAGAGCCCGAGTTCCAACGCATGTCGGCACTGCGCCTCGCAGGTAGGAGCGCGGCGCGCATAGCTTGACCTCAGGGTGACGGGTGGTCTTGGTGCTCCCCAACATCGAGAGCCGTCCGGGCCAGCTTCCCAGGTTCAGACCAAGCGCACTAAGCCAGCCCGAAACCTTTAGCCCAAGGCTAACCTGTGATCTGCAACCTGAGCCCCTGTCGGTTTATACAATCTCCAAAAGAGAGAAAGGGCTTGTGCCATTTTCCCCTGCCCCCATCGCCTCCTCTGCACTTTCACTAACGAATAGGGGTTCTCTACTCCCCGTTTAGACTCTAAAAAGGGTCCAGGCACCTCTCTGAAACAGCCCTCAGGGTAGCTCATTGTGTACGTATGTGTTTTTTGTGTGAGTGTACACAAACGCGCGGGATGTGAGGAGGGAGCTGTGTCCCCCGACGAGCTCCTGTAGTCAGCTTGGATTGCCACTTTCCTCTTCCCGAAGGGTCCTGGAGGGGGGCTACTGAGTCTCCAGTCCCAAACCTCTGAGCTCCGAGACCGTGTACTAGGTAGGCGCCGGCTCTGTGGCAGCAGAGGCCGGGCCAGCGCTCAGCCCCCGGCCCAGCGCGCTCTTCTTTGTAATTCTGCCTCCGCGATCGATAGCCCCCTCCCCCTTCTGGCCGCTGGCAAAGGTCACTGGAGAATGGGCGGGGGAGGGGCGGCCCGGGGGACCCTTGGTCAGCGCCGCCCGCAGGCCTTCACACACCGCGACTTCTCTCCTGGCTCCGGCGCGCGCGCCCAGCCTGCCTGTCTGCCTTTCGGTTTTGTGTTTCTCATTTCTACTTCTCTCCTTTCTCTCCGAACAAACTGGTCTCCATTTCTCTCTTGTTTTTCCGCTCAGTCTTTCTCTTGTTCTTCCCCATCCTTTCTTCTCGCTTTCTGTCTCTGTCTCTGTGTCTCTGTCGCTCTCACTCACACTCAGCCACCGGCCCCTTGGGGACCTCCGCTCTCTCCTCTCTCCCAGCTGAGAACAGAAGTCCACACTTGCCCCTAGAGGGGCAGCCGGGCCAGGCCCTCATTTCCTGGGGATTAGTGTAGGGTGAAGATACAAGAGAACCCCCGGCCTAGGTGGGCGACCTCTTTTTTCCTGGCAGTGCTGGGGAGGAGGCTGCCTACCCCAGCCACAGGGACAATAGCTGCCGTGGTTGGCGCCTGATCGATCGCTACTCTAAGCACAAGGGCGAGAAGGGCGGGAACAGGAGGAGGCTTTAGGAGGCGCCCCACTAAGAAGGATGTTGTGGGGAGCTGTTCCCCAGGTCTCCCAGCCACACAGGGGGGCATGGAAGAGACAGCAAGAGTTGGAGGATGAAGAGGGCCTTCTGTCATTCCTCCCCAGCCAGCCATTCCCTCCCCCCACCCTAGGTGGATTGGACAACCTCCAGGAGCCTGTACCCACAGACAGGCCTCAGTTTCCCCCTTCTGTTTCTGCAGAGTAAGATAATTAGTTGGAACTTCTTATGGGATTTTTTTTTTTGAGACAAGTGTCACTATGCCACCCTTGGTAGAGTGCTGTGGCATTACAGCTCACAGCCACCTCAAAGTCTTGGGCTTAAGCAATTCTCTTGCCTTGGCCTCCCAAGTAGCTGGGACTACAGGCGCCCACTACAACCCCGGGCTATTTTTTTGTCGTTATTGTTGTTGTTATTGTTGTTTAGCAGACCCAGGCCAGGTTTGAACTGCCAGTCCTGGTGTATGTGACTGGTACCCTAACCACTGAGCTATGAGCGCTGAGCCATTCTTATGGGATTCTTAAATCCCTCACTTTGGGGCAGTTAACCAAGTGGCCAGGGAGGTCCAAGTTAGAAATGGCTACCAGAACCTAGACAGTCTTATATAAGGGTAGGATCTGCTCTGTCCTGCCGGCGTGACATATGCAATGATACAACCTGCAATCTACAGTGTGGCTGACCTCAGGGGTGTAGAGAGCTCACCCTATGTGCAAGGCTAAAGGTATAGCTGTAACTTGTTAGATACTGCTGCTGCCACCCAGTCCCAATATATAAGCACTAGGTGGCTTATATATTGGGACACCCCACCACCTACAGTCTCCTCACCAGTGTATATATTTGAGGGACATTGTCTCCCCCACAAGCATACCTGAAATTCACAAGACTCTCTTTTCCTCACCTTCACTTTATGTAACTAGCATGACGCATTAGCCATATTTGAATACTAAATTTTGGCCACACAAAAGATCAGCTTGAGCATCACAGAATGAGAGGCCACAGGTGAGAAGTCCCTTGAGGGTTCCTGCTGCCTGGTGAGCAGCACCAGCCCTGCTCAAAGACCACCAAGTGACAATCCCTGGATCTGTGTTTGCTTCTATCCACCGGATGGCCACCCAGGCCTTCCTGTCAAAAGTATAATTACAGATGGGGAAATCGAGGCCAAGTTTTCCTCTCAGCATTGCCCCTCCCTTTCTGTGGCAATGGTGAACAGTTTTATCTCTCTGAGCCTTGATTTCCCCAATGGGAGTTAAAATAGCTGCCTTTGCAAAGTAACATGGGGGATGGTGTGGGGAGGTGAGTGGGCACTGAGGCTGAGCAGGGCTCTGCGATGTTGCAGGCAATAAATCGGGAGCAGCGGCTGTTCTCCAGCTCCCCTTGGTGGCTACCCACGTCGTGGGTCGGCGACCGGCCTTGCAAATCCTAACTGTCCAGTTCACCCCAGCCCTGAGCTCATGCCCGCCTCTGGCAAACTCCCTCCCACCAGGATGTTAGAGGTGGCTGGGTGAGGGCGGCAGGGTAATTAGGCTCTGGCCAAGGCCTTTAGTTCCGGTTGCTGCGCAAATGAAAAGTGGTTAAGTGGCGGCAAATCGTGGTGATTGAGGAGAGGCGGCGGTGGAGGGAGTCTGCACTCTCTAGCGCGCACCGGGAGCGCCAAAGTCCCTGTCGGCTCCCGACCCGCTCACCCACGAAGAGAGAAATCTGTCCCCTTCGCACAATTCGACCCAGTAGCGGAGGACTCCCTGCCTTTCCTCTTCACACGTCTCCATCCAGGGCGCCTCCCCAAGGTCTCCTCTGCCAACTTTCCTCCCTGAGTCCGCCCCTGGAGCGCTTGCCCGCTGCCTGCCTCACCACTCTCTCTGACTCTGTCTGGAGCTGCTGCTGGGTGTCCCCAGAGGCGCTGGGGCCAGGAGAGAGACAGGGACACGGAGGGAGAAAGACACGTTTCTACAGATGAACAGAAAGAACGGGGAAGAAGCAAAGATGAGAGTAGGTGGGGAGGAAGAAAGGAAGAAAGGCGGAGAAAGACAGACGGACAGAGACAGAACAAGATGAAGCGGGAGAGAGAGAAACAAAAAGGATAGAGGGGGTGGGGAGAGAAAAAGAAACCAAAATTGAAAGGAACAGAGGAAAAGAAAGACAAAAAGAGAGGGGGAGAGACAAATAAAAAGAGAGATAGGAAGTGGAGATCACTGACCTGTGGCTGGAGGACTACTCTGTCCCCCAGCCCATGGACCTCTGTCCTCACCCAGGGCTAAAGTGCAGCATCCACCCTTCTTCCAGGATGGGGAGAGCGGGGGAGAGGGGAATGGTTGCTTCTTTGTTTCATCAAAGCACCCAAGAAATCTCACAACAGACTTTAGAGTCCCTGACCCCACTGCCTGGTCTGTGTGCCTCAGTTTACCCATCTGTAAATTGTGAACAGGAAACTGGGTACTGTTCGATTCTGGACTGTCTAGGCTCCCATGGGAGAACAGACTCCCACCGCAGGGTCCACTGGAGTCCCACAGAATGAGAGCCACCTCCTCATCGAAACCCTCTCTTCTTCCCCATCTCAAACAGTAATTATGGGAGAAGGGCTGTGGATAGGGTGGGTGGACTCCTCAGCGGGGGTGGGGGTGGTCGATGAATTCGAATTACCGTCTCTAATTCATCACCCTTGCTGGGTCGATAGCTTTGGCCATCTTCAAATATCGTTTAAATTGCAACTCTGGAGGAAAACTATTTTTTGTAACTGATCAGAAAAAAAAAGAATATATGCATATGTGTGTATGTGTATATATATATAAATAAAATAAAATTTTAAACAGAGATAGTTAAAAGAAGGGCCAGTTTCCTGTTGGCACCATTGTAAGACGAGCTCAGAATCCTTAGGGAATGGTAGAGATGAGGGGAAAATGAGACTGGAAGGGACTCGGGGTAGATGGGATGCTTTGCTCCTGGACAGAACAAATTGTCCTAAAGACAAAACCTGGAGCCCTTTCTGGAACCCAGCGCCGATGGCTCTGAGTGCAGTAACAGCACAGTGACAGTGCAGCTCCGTCTGGTTGGCAGTTAACGAGTAGGGTGTTGCTGGGGTTGGAGGTCTGGAGGAGATGCTGATGGAAGGGAAGAAGAAGAGGCAGAACAGTCTCCCCTACCTAGGCTAAGACAGGCCCTGCCACCCCCACCTCCTTCTCCTAATATGCTGCCTACACACAGATGTTGAAATGTGGGGTGGGGTTGAGGGAGGCTGTCAGCGGCTGTAGAGACTCAGCCCAGAAAAGTCCAATCTGGAAGTCTCCTCCCAGGGACAGCTGTCTATTCCCCTATAAGCACTCAGAACCCCCTCACTGTAACACTGTAACCCCCTCTGCCTTCTGTAACAACCTCACCTCCCACTGCACAGAGTTCACATATCTTATAGATATCCCCCGAAAAAATGCCCCAGCCCTACTAGGAGTCATGGGGCTTGCCTTGGCTTCCCCTGGGCTCCATCCCTCACTGGTTCTGGGCAAAAGGGTCTGAGCCTCAGTTTCCTCCTCTGAGAAATGGGCAGAATCAAATGACACTCAGAAGGCAGAGTTATGAAGGGGACATTGTAGGCCCCACAGAGGTGCATGGAGTAGGTTAGACTACATCCAGGACTGGAAGTACCAGACACCTTGTGCTCAATGCCCACAGTGACTCGGTGTCCCCAAACCAGCCCCTTCCTCTTAACCTCAAGGCCCAGGAAGGACATTGCCTCCCAGGCAGAGGGGGAGGGAGAGGAGGCAGGCTCTGAGGTAGAGAG